TCATTTGTGAGCATCTGCAGAGACACATCAAGACCAATAGGACTTCAGACCTTCCACACAGACAAGGACCACTACCTACCTCTGCCTAGACAGACATAGCCCTTGTCTTTGGCTTTCAGTAAATGGACCTTGGGTAGCCTGAGTTGTCTAGCCTTCTGAAGTCACTCTTTCATGTCTAAATCTATGAAGGACTGTAGGAGGTCCAGATGTTCTTGAGGTCTCAAGTATCCTTCCTGTCCCTATGAACCACTCCTGGCCTTTTCCATGGTAGCCCTGGCTATTTCACTGTTAACCTGGAGGTTAGTTTGTACTTTCTGCTCTAACTCTGCTGTGTCCTAGCACAGGCAGGTAGAAGTGCACCCTGCCCTCAAGACTAACCTTCTGCCAGTAGTAGCTTTTTGACTGTCAGAAGAGCTATTCCAGCTGCTTCCCTGGACCAGAATACCATCAACCCTGTAAGAACAGCTGCCATTTGGCTGATGTGTAATCAATTGCCAGAGAGTTTATAGAGTCAGTCAGTATTCATTTTAAAGAGTGAAGACAGGCATGGCTGTCAGTAGTGTCCTATCCTATTGCTCCTTTATTTAACCTTGTCTAAGGATGCCCAGACAGTACCTAATGAACAGGCTAGTGGAACTGGTGGTCAGTCTCCAGCTTTCATCAGCACCCAGTGGAAATGAATCCCTCAGGGTAAGAGTTGCACTTGTTTGGGGGATCAGAGTTTGCTGTTCTTAGGAATATGGGGGCACTTGGCCTCCCTGTGACTGGAGCATTTTCCGCAGAAGACTTTTTAGTACTTAGGGCAGTGGGTCAGAAAGAACAATCGTTGTTAACTGTCTGACTACTCTATTCTGTTGAAAAATGGTTGTGAAATTGGAAGGCAAATCTGGATTGCAATTCCTACACTGCCTCTGAGCAGCAGATTGCTAATCTGAGCTTCAGTTTCTTTTGTAAAATGAGATATGTTAGCTTGCAAAGGCTGCTGTAACCAACGACCACAGGCTGAGGGGCTTGGAAGGCTGAGCGATGTCTCAGTAGTTAAGAGTGCTGGCTGCTCTTGCAAAGGACTGGAGTTTAGCTCCTAGCACCCATATCAGGTGGCTCACAAATGCCTTTAACTCCAGCTTCAGAGGATCTGATGCCCTCTTCTGTCCTCTACAGGTGCGTGCAAGCATGTGTGCCATACACACAGAGAGACACAGAGACACACAAATATATCCATAGTAAGTAACAAACTTAATCTTAAAAAGAATATGGGGTTGGAGAGATGGCTCAGTGGTTAAGAGCACTAGCTGCTCTTTCAGAGGACCTGGGTTCAAGTCCCAGCACTCACATGGCAGCTAACAAAACCCTCCATAACACCACTTCCAGGGGATCCAACACCCACTTCTGACTTCTGCAGGCACTGCACAACACAGGTGCACCTACCTACCTACAGGCAATACACTCATACACATAGACTAAAAATAATTTTTAAAAAAATTTTGGGGCTGGAGAGATGGCTCAGGGGTTAAGAGCACTGACTGCTCTTGCAGAGGACCTGGGTTCGATTCCCAGCAACCACATGGTGGCTATGAACTGTCCTTAACTCCAGTTCCAGGGGAATCTGAAGCTCTCTTCTGACCTCCACAGCATTGCATGATACGGGTGCACTCACATATATGCAGGCAGGCAATACACTCATACATATAAAATAAAAATAATAAATATTTTTTTTTAATTTCCAAAAAAGAACAGAGATTGGTTTAACCATGTGCTGCTACTCTGGAGTCTGGGTTGAGGTAAGAGCACAATCCGTTTCTTCTGAGGCATCTACCCTGGGCACGCACAGGCTATCTTGCTATTTCTTCATGAAATCTTCCCTCTCTACATGTCTGAGCTGGGACCCCCTGTTCTTATAAGGAAGCTAGGAGAAGGGCAAAATAGTGCTGGCGTTGTGGCTGGAGTGCGGATGTGTCCGGCACTGAGCCCTATATGCTTATGTTCCTGCCTGTGGAGAAGAAGGGTCTCTGTTGCAAGGGGAAGATAGTGTATTAGTTGCTTTTCTAGCTGCTGTGACAAAGTGACTGGCAAAAGGAAGAGAGGGTTTATTTTGCTCACAGTTTGTGGGTTCATTGTGGCAGGGAAGGCATGGTGGCAGGAATGTGAGGCAGCTGGTCACATTATATCCACAGTCAGGAAGCAGAGAGAGATGAATGCTGGTACTCAGCTCACTTTTTCCTTATTTTATTTAGTCTAATACCTAGCTCATGAAATGGTGTCACCCATATTTAGGGTGTATCTTCCCCCTTAATCTAAACTAAAAAATTCCTCATGAACATGCCCAGAGATTTATCCTAGGTGTTTCTAGATCCTATTGGATTGACCGGCAGTATTAACTAGCAGATGTGGGCTGGCAGAAGGTTTTCCAGGTGTCTCCTCAGGCTATCTGGCAGACCTGGCTTGTCCTGCTTCCTGCACCTGTGCAAGTCTAGCCACGGCAATACTCTTAGGTGTTGGGGAGTTTGAGGATCCATAAGGCTTGAATGTGGAATGTAACCCAACTTGGTCACCAGCTGGTGGCACTGTTTGGGGAGATTGTGGAATCTTTAGCTTGTGGGGCCTAGTTGAGGGAGTGGACCACTGGCAAGGTGATAGCCCGGCCTGTTACTAGCCCAGGTTCTCTGCTTCTTATCTGCCACCTGGGATGTGACCAGCTGCCTCACATTCCTGCCACCAAAGAGCAGGTCCTGCACCTACCCTCCTGCCTCCTCCGCCATGATGGACTGTAGCTCCTGAACCAGGAACTCAAACACACCTTTCCACTTTCAAGTTGCTTCCCAGGGATTTTGTCACAATGATAGAATAGTGCAGGGACCTCACAGTACAGAACAGTGAGTGGCATCATGGTAAAGTTGTTCCTTTGCTCATTAATTCTCCTTCAGTTCTGATGACAGTTAGGAAAGGCTGTGCCAACCTTTAATTCCTCTCTATTCCTGGGTGATCTCCAGTTTTATGAAAGAACACTCTTACTCTGGAGCCCACGGGCAGGCAGCAGTGTCTGGCTGGACTTGAATAATTCTCTTTTGCTTCTACTATAATCAGTTAACTTTGATGTGTGGTGTGCTATAAAGTGCCTTTAAAAGACATTCAAGTAGTGGCATTGGTGATATAGTGGTGAGCATAGCTGCCTTCTAAAAGACATTCAAGTGAAAAAAGCAAGTAATTTCTAAGTATTTAGTAACTAATAGCACAGAAGATGTAGAAATATGGTAAACACTGTGAACACACAGTGAGGAAGATTGACTTTGTGAAGCGCTGGACGGGAGGCGAGTTTGTAGCTCCTTGGAAGGTTGAAAGCAGCCTGTGAAGGCCAGAGTCACTCAACGAGCTGACCTTCCTGAACAGTGGCTTTGCCTGGCCCTCATGGTGCTGGCTGCAGGCCCACTGGAGAATAGGGTTCTTTTTTAGTTTTGTGAAGGTTTTTTGTTTGTTTTTATATTTGTCATGGTTTTGTATTAGTTCTGTTTCTTATTGCTGTGACAAAATACCTGGCAAAGCAACTTAAGGAAGCAAGGGTTCATTTTGTCTCATGGTTTACAAGGGAAACAGTCCACCATGATGGCAGGTAAATCATCACAACAGGAGTGTGAGGCAGCTGGTTGCCCTGCATCTACAGTCAGGAAGCAGAGAGAGACAATGATGCTGTTCAGCTCCCTTTCTCTCTTTTATTCATCCCAGGACCTTAGCCATTATTATGGTGTGACCACAGTTAGGGTGGGTCTTTGCTGCTCAGTTAAACCTTTCTAGAAACACCTTCATAGACACACCCAGAAGCATGTTTTCATGGTGATTCTAAACCCTATTGCACATGTGTGTGTGTGTGTGTGTGTGTGTGTGTGTGTGTGTGTGTGTGTGTGTAAATCTGGTTTTGGAGACAGGGTATCTTTCTAACCTAGGCTGACCTAAAACTCACTATGTAGCTCAGGCCTTGAACTCACAGCAGTCCTTCTGCCTCAGCCTCCTGAGTTCTAGGATATAAGCATGAGTCTCCATGCTCAGCGTGAATATTTTTTAAATGCTCCTGTTAGGCAGGATAAAGAAAAAAAAGTGAATTCTTGTGCCAACTTACAGGGCTTTATTTTGGGAGACTACAGTCCAGAAAAGAATTAGAAGCACAAATTGCAGTGCTCAGCCCAAGGCTGTGCGCTTCCCCTAGGTGGACATCAAACTATGCGGTGGAGGTTTAGAGCCATGGATCTTTCTGGTAGAACCTGAGTCATTTTGTGTGGGTTTAGAAGCAACTAGGATTAAGACCTCCCTCTGGCCCCAAAGCACCTGAGCCCAAAGGGGCTAGCGTTTGCATGCTGAGCTTGCTAATGATGCTTCCACTGGGCAGCTTCTGTCCTTTGTAAACCGAGCATGCTAACAAAGGAAGTGTGCGGGCAGCTCTGGCCAGCACCTTGGTGTGATTTGCATCCAAAGTGCTTTCTAAGTGGATGGGGCCTGAGTTTCGTTCCTCTTTACAGAACCCCAAGATTGGTCAATGGGTGCTGTGCACAGACTGGCATCTGGCATGTGCAACTTTCACTTTGCACACAGAGGATGGGATTCATTTCTATTGATAGTCAGGGAAGCCTGGTCAAGTTTACTGTAAATGTAGGGCAAGAGCTTTAGACTCAGTTTTTCAGCTACTTTTCCTGGCCTCAGCCACCTCTTAACACCACCAAGACAGCTGCTCAAACACGGTCAGCACCTTCCTCTGGTGCCTGTCCTTCCTCCCTAAGTGCTCACATAGTCTCTTACGGTTGTGCTTTTAGGATGTAATAGAAATGTTTTGCTTTGCCAGTTTATCTTCTATTATCATTTGTTAAGGTTGCTTTGAATTCTTTTAATTCATTTAAAATACAGGGGGAAAGAAAATGGACAACAGAGGCTACTACTGGTTAAGAAATGAGACATTTTTGTTTCAGAAGCCCACTACCTTTACTCCTGTGACCCACTGCAAATAACAGAAATTTTTCCTCACCAGGAAACCTGTATGGATTGTTTCACTACAACCCTATGATGCTTAGGCTTGAATCCCTCCCAGATCCCATGGACACCTGGGAAATTATAGAGACCATTGGTAAAGGTACCTATGGCAAGGTCTACAAGGTAACCAACAAGAGAGATGGGAGTCTGGCTGCAGTGAAAATTCTGGACACAGTCAGTGTGAGTAATGGGAGTAAACTGGACCCACAATCTGGTATTTCCTATACATTCGGCTTTCAATTTCTGTTCTTGGTTTTAGGGATAATTTTCATGAATGCTGGCATGAAATCTCAAAATGAGTCATGATTTGTCAGAGCCTGTGAAGAAAAGGACTTGACTTGGAGTTCAAACTTACTTAGACTGTTTTTTAACCTGTTTTACTGCTGTTTTGCCTTTGGCCCCTGAGCTTTTCAAAATTACTCTCTTGGAAAGAGTGCTATATTTCACTCCCTGGTCTTTCTGTAAGTTACAAAATGATCCAGGCTCATGATACTCAATCATCTGAGGTGACATCTTATTTCAGAGCACCAAAGTTAACATGCTCAGTGACATTCTACACAGTGGAGTTGTTTAGGACCCATCCTGTGCTGGGCCTAAGTTTGGAAAATTTAGACATTTTCAGCAAAAAGATATTTATAGTACTATGGTTAAGGGGAAAATCATAAAGAAATGTTATTAATAGAATAACCGGAAGACTTAAATTGGAACCATAATGTCTGTTGTGGGCATTTTGAACACATAACAGTGATGCCATTAAATACGTAGTAAAGCCCAGTGTTAGGTAGTGCACACTTGTAATTCCAGCACTTGAGAGGCAGAGAGCTAAGGAGGATCTTGAGTTGGAGGTCATTGTGGGCTACACTGTGAATTTGAGGCTATCATGGGCTACATTGTGAGACTCTGTTTCAAAAAACTTAAACCTGTAATAAATATGCCTTACGAACAGACTACTTGAAAATGATGTCATGTCTATACCTTTCCTTATATATCAGTCTTAATCAAGCACGTATTTTATTTTACTTTTTTCCCCCATTTTAGGATATGGATGAAGAAATTGAGGCTGAATATAACATTCTGAAGTTTCTTCCCAATCATCCCAATGTTGTAAAGTTTTATGGGATGTTTTACAAAGCGGATGGTTGTGTGGGAGGACAGCTGTGGCTGGTCCTGGAGGTAAGGGGCTCCCGTTGAGTAACCATTGATTTGGAACAGAGTGTGGAGTGCTGGGGAGAGCAGATGTTTTGTTGGCTAGCGTACAGGTACAGGCTGGAGGAGTGGATCCCTCCTGTGTGTCACATATCTAATCAGGTATGGAATCCTTTTAGAGTAGCTACATGTGCAGGAGATACTCTTGCTTTTCTGCTTTGAAAAAAATGTAATTATCTTTTCTTCAACCACAGAGTGAACACAGGTTATTGTGTTCCCTAAACTGGGAACATCTTGAAGAACTCATGTTCTAACTTATTACAATTCATTTTCAAATTTTGCTATCTCAAGATGTGCTTGACTTGCTATATTTGAATTTGCCAGCTCATGTTTGTGGGTTCTTGAAAACTGAGTCTGAAAGCTGTGTGTGGAAGGAGAGTTCTTGCAGGGGATTAGCCTAGAGGGAAGTGGGGAAGGCACACTGGGCAAGGGAGACATCAAACACCACTGTGGTTGTAACCAAGGCCTTGGCAGATCCTCTGGGGAAATGGATGACTGGGAGTATTTGCAGGATTGTCCTCAATTGTTTCTCTGCATGGGTCAGTCACAGGCTGCTTGCAGAAAGAGTGGCCCCAGGGAGGCAGTTTCCTGTAGTGGAAGGCAGTTCCTAGAGAAGGGAGGAGGAGGAGGAGGAGGGGGCAGTAGGCACTCCCAGCAGAACTGGAGGCCCCGCTGTAAACACAACAGTCCCATTTTCTTTCCTATTAATGGGCATGAATTTATCTGGGTGCAAAAGAGGAAGGCTTCTAAACTCTACTCCCCACAAGACTGAAACAACCAGAGTAGGGCAGGTCAGTTGCCTCATTCTTATTGGGCCAGTGCTGATCTCTTCTGGACCTGGTCCCTCTGAGCCAGCTCATTCCTCCTTGACTGTGGTCATCGGTGTGATCCAGGGGTACAAGAACACATGTGGACACCCTAAGAAAGGAGTGCCAAAGCTACCCTTCCTTCACCTCTTATGCCTCTTGTCCTAGCCTTTCTGGGAGGGCCTAAGCCTAGGACAACATGTACTGGCTGCCATGGCAACTGTGGGTGGAGAAGTCATCATTGTATTCAAATAGGATAATCTGCCAAGGAAGCTCATTGAAATATTTCTGTCATATGAATCTCCTTCCTTACAATATAAAGATTGAAGAGGTTTTCACTTTTAGGAACCATCCTTGGCCTCTTGTTGGCACATTAAATCATATATTCCCGTCTGTATTATCACCTTTTAGGTTTTATTAATGTCTCAATTTACCCTCCACCCACACCATGAGAATATTAGAGTTTTATCTTGCCATGAAGCAGTTTAACATTGTTGCTTTGTTCAGGAATGCTGTTGTTTCTGAGGTCTCTGACTGTATCCTTAGCTCTGCAAGAGCTCTGTAACTCATTGCAGCTTAATCATAGAAATACAGTGACCAAGAAATCTTGGTTTTTATTCATTTCCTCCCTTGTATATCCTACCCCACTCCAGAAAGCTGTACATTCAGACAAAGAGAACTGGAACCTCTTGGCATTTTTCAGAGCCTGTCAAGGGTCTGCTCCATGTGCTGTGCTATAAGCTGGAGACCACTCATGCCAAAGGCAATCATGAGTGAACAGTCGTCCTGATGAGGCGAGTCGGCAGCCACAGCACTGCAGGCACGGCCAAGGCAGCCAGGAAGACTGTGAGAGATGAGGAGGAGTCAGGTCATGACTGCTTTATGCTGCCGTGGGTAGATAATAAGGGCCCTCCAAGACAATGAGTGACTTATTCCTCAGCGTGCAGTATGCTGGCATTTATGGTTTTGCTGGTTGTTTTGCCAAAGCTGGTAGCATGGCATGCTGAATAGCCTCAGTCTTCTCTGTCCCAGAATGGGATGTCTATAGCTGGCTGTTGCATGCCTGGATATGCCCAGTGCCTCCCAGAGTCTTATAGAAACAGGGATTGCTGGAGTTCTCACACTGGCAGAAGCTTCTAGTTTCCTTCAGTACAGTTTCCTGGTAGTCCATGGAGGGCCCGAGGGCCAGAGAAAGAAGCAACATGCTTATAGTCACATGACCAGTTACTTGATAGAATTGGAGAGAAACTATGTGTGCCAGTCAGGTTTCTATTACTGTAACAAAATTCCTGCAATATATAAACTTAAAAAGAAGAAATGATTGTTTGGCTCACAGTTTAAAAGGTTTCAGTTGCATGATCAGGTGGCTTTTGTGTCTATGGGCAAGTAGCACATCATTATGGGTACATGCAGTAGAAGAAACAGTTCACTTCGTGGTGGCATGGAAGCAAAACAGAGAAAAAAGAAAGACCCGTACTCCAATATCTCCATCAAAAGTGAACCTCCAATGACCTAACTTCCTTCCACTAGGCTCTAAACACTGAGGGCACCACTACGTCCACTAGCATCATACACTGGTGACCAGCCCTTTAACACAAGGTTTTTGGGGACACTAAGATAGAAGCACTTCCTGACTGTTCACAGAACTGGATGGTGACAGGCCACAGTGCACCCCTGGGGTGCTGTTCCACCTGCAGCTTTTTAAAGGTCTGCATTGGAAAACTCACATAATAAAATTAGGATTTTTAAAATATTGTTCTCCTCATCTCATACATTGAGATTAAATTTATATTGCCTTTGCTCTTTTCCTACTGGACACAATGCAAGGACCAGTGAGGAGTTATTCTGCAGAGTAATTTTAGAGAATAGGAGATGTTATTAATAACCCCCTCAAATCACCAGAACCCTGAAAACAAAAGCAAATAAAAATGTCACTTTTGAAATTCATTACCAATTTATTAGTAGGAAGCAAACAAAAATCCCTTTCATGAGAGACACCTACTACATTAGAAAGCTATGAAGAGAGAAAACAGTCACACATAACAGGCTGGACAATGTGAAAATGTTTTAAGTAAGTATCAAATTAAAAAATCTGTAAGTCCCATTTTCTTACCTAAATAAAATGTAATAAGAAGTCAGACTTTTGAGGAAGACACAATACTCAGAAACAGTATCTAATATGCACTAAGTTACATTTTCCCTTTTTCTTTTAGAACAAAAACCTTGACAGGTAGAAAATAATCATTTCAACATGAACCAAATGCTCAAATTTTGGAAAATATTTTTAGAGTACCATAAAGAAGGTTGTAAAGGGAAAAAAATCAAAATTAAAAATAAAAACTTTGTAGGGGTTGGAGTGATGGCACAGTGGTTAAGAGCACTGCATACTCTTGCAGAAGACCTAGGTTCGATTCCCAGCACCCACATGGTGGCTAACAACCTTCTGAAACTCCAGATGCCCTCTTCTGTCCTCTGTGGGCATTGCACGACACAGGCGCACTTACACACATGTAGGCATAACACTCATACACATAAAATAAAAATAATTAAAAAAAAATGAAACAAACTTTGTTTTAAAACCAAGAATTAGCTTTTTAAATAAAATCCTTATTAGAAAATTAGAAAATTTATAACAAAATTAAAAGTAGTTACCAAGAACAATAACGGTATTATCTCATTCAGCAAATCCTACAAATCAGTGTTAGGTCGTGTCCAGTTCCCACTGCACTGTTGGTCTGTGGAATCAAAAGGAAGCCCAACTCTCATGATCACTGCCACTAAGGGACAACATTTACTGGACTCATGGAATACAGAAATGATTCCTGCTACTTTAATATTCATAAAATTGAACACACACATTGATCATGAAAAAAGGCAAAAATGCTCCTTTTCCTGCAAATTACCCTTTCTAGTTCTCGGTTCTAAATATTATAGTATACCCACACGTATTTATTTACATATGCATATGTACACATTATGAGGGAAAAACGTGTTCTTTTACTTTCTGAGATTGAGTGACCTCACTTAATATACATTCTAGGTCCATTCATTTTTATATAAATTTTTGTATTTCACCTTTCTTTAGTGCTGAATAATATCCATTTATTTACCAGATTTTCATTAATCTATTCATATGCTGATGGACAGCTAGGTTGGCCCCCTTTCCTTGTTATAATGAATAGTGGGGAGATAAACACGGGCATATAAATATCTCTATAGTAAGATAAGGAGTTCTCTGGTTAAATGCCCAGGGGTGAGATAATTGGGTCATATGGTAAATCCATTTTAAATTTTTTGAGGAACTTCTAAATTGAATTCCGTAATGGTTGTACTAAGTTGCGCTCCCACCAGCAGTGAATAAGCTGGGCTCCTTCTTTGTATCTTCTCCAACATTTGCTGTTTTGATAATAGCCATTCTGACTGGGGTAAGGTGGTATCTATCTTAAAGTAGTTTTAATTTGCATTTCCCTGATAATTAGGGGGTATTGGACTGTTTTGGTTTTTTTTTTTAAGTAGTTGTTAGCCATTTGCACTTTTTTTCTGAAACTGTCTATTCATTTGCCCATTTGTTGATTGGTAGCTTTATTTCCTTGGTATTTGTTTTTTTGCAGTTCTTTGTATATTCTGGATATATATCAGCCCCTTGTCTGATGTACAGCTGGTAAAGATTTTCTCCCATTCTGTGGCTGTTGGTGTACTCTACTGATAGTTTCCTTTGCTGATCAGATACTTTTAAATTTCATATGGTCCCATCTGTTGATACTTGCGGCTAGTTCCTGTGATATTGGTGTTCTACTTAGGAAGTTCTTGCATACCCCAATGTCCTGAGCATTCCCTATGTTTTCGTCTAGGAGTTTCAGAGTTTATGGTTTTAAATTAAACCATTTCTAGTTGATTTTTGTACAAGGTGAAGTTGTGAATCTAAGTTCATTCTTCTATAGGTAGAAATCCAGTTTTGACAACACTTTTATTGAATAGGCTAACTTTTTTCCAATGTGTGTTTTCACCTCCTTTGTCAAGAATTGGGTGGGCATAACTTTGTTGTTTTATTTCTGGGTCCTCTATTCTGTTCCATTGGTCTATTAGTCTGTTTTCACACCAATACCAAGCTGCCTTTATCACTGTAGTTCTGTAATATAACTTGAGGTCGAATATTGTGTT